TATCTTTTGCAAGGTATTATCACATCTATATTTTCCAGACTTATTAAGTAAACCCAACTCTTTCTTGTTTCCAGTGGTCCCCATTCTCCACCTTCCCGTGGTATGTAAAGGCATCTCTGTTTTTCTTAAACTCTTATGCATCTTCTTTTTCATTATTAGGACTTAGGCTTGGTCATTTTTTTTATGGTACTTGATGATCATTTTGATTTACTAGATATGGTATGTATAGTCTAGGAATCTAACCAGACAATAAATTAATGAACTTGAGGGATTTGACTGTAATTTGCATGGCTACGAAATCACGACAGCTTGGCTACCAGGCAGGGACAAAATCGAGCTGACTTTTTATGGGCTCCAAAGTATGATGGAAAAATGTCGAGCTACGGATATTAGCATCATTTATTTTGAGTGTCCGTATTATACGTTCACAACCCCACAACCATAACTTGGTTGTGGAGTTATGGCAAGAGACTGCCTTCCAACAGTATTTACAACTAAAACTTAAACCTTTATTTTATTGGTTAATTAGCATTTTATAGTTTACGTTTTTCATATTTTACTGAGTGAGTAATGAAGCCAGTTCTTGAGATGTAACAAGGTTACACTTTGTACACTAAATATATATAGGTTACCTACACAATAACTAAAGTACTGGAGCGTGCCTTTCCTGTCCTTTGTTTTCAAGAAATGTGTATAATTTGCAAGTGATTTTTATTAATGAATTATGTTTTGTTCGAATGTATCTTATATACAGTTAGAGATATATTTCTGGACATCCTCTTAAAATTATATTACTTACAGAAACTATTTGGTCAAATGCACCAATGTATATTGTTGGACCTCTAAAAGTTCACATTTTGTATTGCAGACTTAGCCAAATGTAATCCAAGAGCCTAACCAAACCTGTCCAAGAAATCCCCGGCTTAATACACGCAATCTTAGGTCTAACATAGTACATATATGTGCTATACTAGGCCTAGGAAATTTATAGGTTCGGGGTTTAGCTTTTTTCCCTCGGACTTTTTTTTTTTTTTTTTTTTAACAGGCACTGTTTGGGTGCAACAGTACATATTGGTAGGTTCGACCAAACGGTTGCTGTAAGTACTGTTGATTTAGGAGATTAGGTTGATACATTTTGTGTGTAAAGATAGTGAAATAAACTCTTGATTGAGCATCTGTGATAGTCTTGTGTGTGAACTTGGAGGAAAAAGGTGTCTTGTGATTTGGGGCCAAGGTAGCCTAGGTTCAGATCGACTAGGCAGTATGCTAGGCAAAATATTTGTTATTAAGTTTTAATTGAATAATTGTTAATGTAATTTGCTGGTCCAGCTTGATACATGGGGTCTATCTGGTTAACATGAATGGGATTTTCCTGTGGATTGTTATGTACAATTAATGTGGTTGTTATAATCGTGTCGAGGACGTTTGTGCTTTGGACCTTTGGACCTACAGGGATTACAAACATAGACTGACTGGCTTGGTGAAAGAAGACGAGTCTCAGTGATGCCTGTTAAAGCATGCGCATGGTGTCCATTGTTGAACATTTAGTTATGAAGAATTGAGATAAGCTTGATGGATATTTCGAATATGATTTGTTAGCCGTTTATAGACATGTTATTGCAAGTTATCATTTATTTACTGATTTATTATACCTGTGTAGTCCATTCAACATTTGGAAGAAGATCACTGAGTAATTGTGAGTTCAGCTAGAGAATTTGTGGTTTACCTTCTTAAGTAGCTAGGGTTGTAGACTCACATTCTGAGTGCCTGTTAATTCATCCACTGAATAGGTTACTTTGAGGCTCATTTGACCAGTACTAAAAGAGTAACCTATTGGGTCCCATCATATTAGTCTCAGTACACTTACTGAGTACTTGTGGTACTGAGTAGGTGAGTACCTACTGGGTACTTGCGGATTCGCCCACTGGGTACTTGTGCTCTCACCCATTTAGTACTTGTCGACTCACCCACAGTACTTGTGGACTCACCACTGGGTACCTGTGGACTCACCCACTGAGTACCTGTGGACTCACCCACTTGAGTACTTGTGGACTCACCCACTTGAGTACTTGTGGACTCTCCAAAGTGTTTGTAGATGCACACTTTGAGAACTTAGTTCCACTCACTAAGTATCTGTGATTCATCCGATGAATGGTTGTAGATCTGTCAACTTAACATAGTACTTGTACACTAATTATCTTAATATACTCATTCATCCATTGAGCTCTGTAGACAGCACTATGGATCACTTGTCCTTAGGCTATTAGCTAATCCGTCGTAGACTCATTTACTAAATATACTGCATTACAGATTCGTTTATTACAAATATGTTGACTCAGCTGTCGAGTACAGTACTTGTGTGTTAATTCACTGAGTTTGGCAGTTTATTCGATACAAGCAACAGCCTGTTGGACCAAGTTACCACATGACAAGCTTGGCCCTAGGCCGGGCTCGGGGAGTAGAACAACCCCCAGAACCCTCCCCATGTATATTACAGGCATACTCCAGTCAGCGTGCAGTTACTCACTCACTGATAACATGTAGAAACACACGATGAGCACTTGTAGATCTACCTACTTAGTGAGTTTATTCTGCCACTTATCTAGAAAGTTACTGGCTCGCTCATTTAGGAGCTTGTAGACGTACCATTAAGTACTGTACTGTATTTGTGAATTCAAATACTGTTTTTGGAGCCTACTCCGAGTGTTTGCAGTCTTATCTAGTGAGTTCAGTTCTTGTAGTCATTCACTAAATACTTACATTCATTTTCTTCGTACCTGCTGTCACGTTTACTTGAGTATTTGTGTTCTCATTCGCTGAATGCTGTAGACAGACCCACTAGGTATTTGTTTCCTCATCAACTGAATGCTTCATGACTCATCTCGGGGGCTTGTAAGTTCACATCACCTATTTGCACACTATATAGGCTACATGAACGTCTTCAGTGAATGCATGTAGACTCTCATTAATTACTTGTACCCCATTCACTGTGGGCTTGCACACTCATTCACTAAGTACAGTACTCGCAGTCTCAATCAGTTAGAACTTTTAGTCTGAATAGGTCCTATGTATAGGCTGAACTCATTTAGGCCTACTAAGTTGTTGTTGCTTTATAATTCTTTACAGCCTAGACATTCTGGATTCGTAGGCTTCGTGCTTGGTTATTTATGCTTTCTAATAACTCGTCCGGTAAATTTTTCGCGACTGATTTTTTTCGATTCACTCCCCCTTGAGTAAGTTCTCATTTATTATTTGACTGTTTGGTGACTGATTGGCGATTCATCGACTGAAAAATCGACGACTCATTGACTTAAGTCATGTGATTCATCAACTGATGAATTGTGGAGACGTTCTCAAGACTAAGATACTCATGACAAGCGTGTCTGGTTTCACTCATTGAGGAAATGTAGCCGAGTCACGAGACCGGGTTCGATACCCGAGTGGAACAGAAATGGTTGGGCACGTTTCCTTTCACCTAATGCCTCTGTTCACCCACCAGTAAATAGATACCCAGGAGTTAAGGAACTGTTGTGTGGGTTGCATCCTGGGGAAGGTCAGTAGTCCGACCTTGGAAGACCGATATGAATAAAATGTAAATATATACAGGCTTCCTGTCCCCGGTAAAGGGAATTGCTATTTTTCTAATATGACTTGCAAGTTGCGGATGTTTCTAAATACAATGCATATAAGAATGTCATTTTCTTAGTAACTTTCAGTTTGGAAATGTTAAACAATTTAGTTTCAGTGTACAGTTCAACAGTTTAGTTTAGTTTCAGTGTACAGTTCAACAGTTTAGTTTAGTTTCAGTGTACAGTTCAACAGTTTAGTTTAGTTTCAGTTACAGGGTGCAGTTAAACAGTTTAGTTTCAGTGTACAGTTCAACAGTTTAGTTTCAGTTACAGGGTGCAGTTAAACAGTTTAGTTTCAGTGTACAGTTCAACAGTTTAGTTTTTAACAGTTTAGTTGGTTTAGACCCCTTTGGTTTAAACAGTTTAGTTTAGAAAACATTTTCTAGACAGTTTAGAAATTCTTCAAAGATGACTTTGTGACATATATGTCAGAAAGATTTTTCCCAAAATGATGACTAGGAACTTTCTTCCCTGAAAGCTAAAACAAATCTTGCCTCTAGGTCGAAGTTGATTTAGTTATCTGTGAGTACTATTGATTGATATTTCTAAAGTGATGTGAGAGTTATTATTTTGGCTGGGGAATTTAATGGTTGGCAATAGTACTTGTGGACTGAATTTAAAGTCCTTTTTATTTTAAAAGTACTGAAGTACTTTATCATATTGCCTGGTGAGTTCTCTTATAATTCTTGGAGGATTGCGACGTAAGTCCTTTTGTTTTTGGCTGTTTTTCAACTATTTCGGAATTTCTTAAAGTGACTGATAAAGTCTGGTAACTTATAAGATCTGGAAAGGACTTGATAATATAGACTTGACTGATACAATTTGGTTAGGACTTGACTGATACAGTCTGACAAAGACTTGACTGATAGGATCTGGCAAAGACTTGACTGATAGGATCTGGCAAAGACTTGATAATACGATCTGGCAATCTGGCACGGACTTTAAATTGGCCAGAATGTAAGAATTATCATAAATTACCGTATGGTTTATCGTTGCTATCGATCGGCGCCTACTCATAAGTCCTGAACATGATTTAAGGTGGCTGACTTAACACATATTATCCTATGAGTTGAGCATAGCTATTAATGTAGGCTTGTGGATAAGATGTTGTTATGGAACTGTGAAAACATTCCAAGTACTACTAAGTGGTTACATCTCTAAAATACTTCCTTGGCCAGCTTCTGAAGTTGACTTTAGATTAATTAAGGCTAATTAAGATGCAAATTCTTTATAGATTACCGGAGAATTAGTTTATTATGAACTCAGTAAGTGGGTGACATTTTAGTATAGGCCTATAGCCTAGCCTTGCAACTCACTTAGAAAGGCTGTTGAAATTAATGTTTTAAACAATTACAAATTTATTTTTGGCAGCTAACTTCCTGGTGAACATTTATGGCCCACCTTTGCACTAATCTCTTCTTGAGACACAAAATCTTGAAGGTTTTGAAGGTTACATATACACGTATGAAACTCATTTAGAGGCTTCTGAAGATAATTTTATTAGCTTGTCTTATTCACTGTTAAGCTTGTGAAGAACGTTTAGCCAAGGGACTTGTATAGACTACTCATAGACTTGTGAAGGGTACTTACTGCCTTGTGAACAAGTAAATGTCATTTGGTCTTGGGACTTGTAGACCACTCAGAGGACTGAAAATCACTTATGTGCTTGTGAAGGTCAGTTTTAAAGTTTTAATAATCACTTTACAATTAAGGTTCACGTAGCCTTTTGACTTGTAAAGACCCCTCGTAGGCTTGTGAAGATTGCTTATCGGCTTGTATGTATTACTTACAGTCTTGTGAAGGTTACTTGTAGACTTGTGTTGGTCACTTGTAGACTTGTGAAGGTTACTTGTAGACTTTTGTAGGTCACTTGTAGACTTGTGTAGGTCACTTGTAGACTTGTGTAGGTCACTTGTAGACTTGTGAAGGTTACTTACGGTTATGAAGGTTACTTATGATCTTTTGAAGGTCACTTGTTCACCTGTGAGAGTTACTTATGGCCTTGAGAAGGTCACATGTAGACGATGGGTCACAATAACGTGACTGAAGACATGAGTACTAAACCACACACCAGATAATGAGAAGACGACGTTTCGGTCCGTCCTTATCAAGTCGAAACGTCGTCGTCGTCTCCTCATCTTCTGGTGTGTGGTTTTGTAGTCTCATGTGGACTTGTGAAGGTCACTTGTGGACTTGTGAAGGTCACTTGTGGACTTTTGAAGGTCACTTGTGGACTTGTGAAGGTTACTTGTGGACTTGTGAAGGTCACTTGTGGACTTGTGAAGGTCACTAGTGGACTTGTAAGTAGGCGTTTATATTAGGGGCTTGTGAGGAACCACTTTGACTGATGTGGCTTCTGAAGATCCCCAATTGAACGTTTGAAGATCAATTTTGGTCTAATGTGGATAACTGTAAGGCTGAGGTTCTTGAGTCTTAACTGTGGCCCGCACCCCCTTTGGTTCCCAGATTGTCTTCTCTTACCCCTTTGCTTCTTAGGCTGTGTTCTCTTGCCCCTTTGGTTCTTAGGCTGTGTTCTCTTGCCCCTTTGGTTCTTAGGCTGTGTTCTCTTACCCCTTTGGTTCTTAGGCTGTGTTCTCTTACTCCTTTGGTTCTCAGACCGTGTTCTCTTACCCCTTTGGTTCTTAGGTTGTGCTCTCTTACCCCTTTGGTTCCCAGATTGTCTTCTCTTGCCCCTTTGGTTCCCAGATTGTCTTCTCTTACCCCTTTGCTTCTTAGGCTGTGTTCTCTTACCCCTTTGGTTCTTAGGTTGTGCTCTCTTACCCCTTTGGTTCCCAGATTGTCTTCTCTTGCACCTTTGGTTCCCAGATTGTCTTCTCTTACCCCTTTGGTTCTTAGGCTGTGTTCTCTTACCCCTTTAGTTCTCACTGTTCTCTTACCCCTTTGGTTCTTAGGCTGTGTTCTTTTACCCCTTTGGTTCTTAGGCTGTGTTCTCTTGCCCCTTTGGTTCTTAGGCTGTGTTCTTTTACCCCTTTGGTTATAAGGCTGTGTTCTCTTAACCCTTTGGTTCTTAGGCTGTGTTCTCTTACCCCTTTGGTTCTTAGGCTGTGTTCTCTTACCCCTTTGGTCCTCTGAATACTTTGTTATAACCCTCGGGTTCTCAAACATATATGCTGTTGCACAAATATGAAATTTATCCACGATAATAAAACAAAGTAGAGACGAGGCTCTCACGAGGATGTTGTTTATTTGGTGTTTAGCATTATCTTCCTGCAAGAAGTGTCGTCACTGGCCTGGTCTCTCTTCTTGTCCAACATGTTATTATTCTTGCACTTGTAGCAGCTACTTTATTGTGTTGCTTCAGTAAATTGTATACGTTGTTCGAGTTTTGATCTCTCTTTGTCTTCACTATAACCCGGTAGCTGGAACTTGTCTTCATTAATCATCACGCTGTTTTCTATGACCCACTGAGACCTGTTTCCTGTGTCCTCTATACCGTCTTCTCTCGTAAGACTACTAATCCTAGTATCATCTGAAAACAAAAACATGATATGCTGCTATATTTCGTGGCGTTGTCTATGTGGGATATGGCTGGGAGGAAGTGTGCAAGTACCCCGAGGGACTGAAAATTTCACTGGTTGCTTATTCCAGAGTTTGGTTCTTGACTAGGCCTGTACCGCATTGGGGTCTGCTCGTGTGGTTATGTCAATCAATCAAGCCATCAAAACTTCATTCATAAATGTTCCCCACATGTGGTATATGTGTATAAGCCAGTACCGTGCAAGGAGTCTTCTCCTATACTGTCTATAGGAAATCTTCTTAGGGGGAAATTAAGAGGAAGATTGACCCAGAAAATAAGAGAGGGCAAAAGAGAAATAATGCTGAGGAGGAGGCAGAGAGGGTGGGTGGGAAAGGGGCGTGGTAGCTTTGGCATCTGTCGTTCTTTCTCACCCCCAAAATTCAAATGTTTTCTCTTTCTCTCTCTCTTTGTGGGTTATTTCTGTCCCAGCCGGCCGCTCTGAGTACCCAGTCCTGGTGACTGTTCTGTGGCTTTGTCACGGCCACACCTCTGTGGTGAGGCACTCCTCACCTCTGTTGTGAGGCACTCTTCACCTCTGTGCTGAGGCACTCCTCACCTCTGTGGTGAGGCACTCCTCACCTCTGTTGTGAGGCACTCCTCACCAACTCAATCATTCTCACCTGTTGTTGTACACACCTCACGACTGTCGTTCAGATTAAGATTATCGGGAGAAGGGCCTGGCGTGTTCGACTAATAAATACCGGGCGATTGATTCACCCTCCCACCCCCCACCACCCTTTTCCCCACACTGTACTTCCCCCACCCACACCACACCTCCTCCCACACTATCCTTCCCCCCCCCCTCACCACCCATACACTATCCACAACTGACCTTCCCCCTCCCCCCTCTACTACTCCCCCGCACTATCCTCCTCTACTGTCCTCCCCCCCCCCCACTCTCGCCTCACTATCGCCCCCCCCCGACCCCACACAATATCCCTCCTCCAAACTTTCCCTCCCCACAATTCTTCCCCCATCTTCCCCACACTTCTTCCCCCTCAAGACCACCCTTCCCCCCCCCCCACCCCCTGGACCATCCCTGCCCCCACACCATCCTCCTCCTCCCTCTTATAGAGTCTCCTTCACCATCACCTCTCCACACACCGTCACTATACCCACCTAGTGGAAGCCCTTCCGGACACCTCACTTTTGCACAAGAAGACCATAGATGTTGTCCTCCACCTGTCTTGTACCCCCTCCCTGCCTTACCATCATCATCACCAATAGTAGTAGTAGTAGTAGTAGTAGTAATAGTATTGTTGTTTTATTATAGGCCTAATAATATTATCTTGCATCCGCCTAAAGTCTCCTGCAGTCACTCGATCATAGTTTAACTAGGTCTAATGTTGGACACGGAACGGTGGTAGACTATGAAGATGATTCTGCACAATTGTGAGAGTCTTGAAGCATTTTGTGACTTATTGTGTCGTTGAATGCTGACACGCAAGCTGATGCTGCCTACTGTCGCTTATTTATAGACATGAGATGCTTTCACAGCCTAAAGCTGAATATATATATGCCTATGTAAATAATATATTTTGTACACAATTCATGCAAAATTAGTTGTAAGAATTTGATTGGAATCTCTTAATATATGTGGCGTATAACTCATGTATATTTCTGTCTTTACAGGTAAGGGCAGCCACTTGTTATGCAGTATTAAGGTATAGTGAATATATATATCTGTGGTACATTATCTCTGTGGTAAGTTGTCTCTGTGGTACATTATCTCTGTGGTAGGTTGCCTCTCTGGTACATTATCTCTGTGATAGCTTGCATCTGTGGTACATTATCTTTGTGGTAGGTTGCATCTGTGGTACATTATCTCTGTGATAGCTTGCATCTGTGGTACATTATCTCTGGTAGGTTGCCTCTCTGGTACATTATCTCTGTGGTAGGTTACCTCTGTGACAGGTTATCTCCTAGGTGGGGTATCTCCCTTGTGGATTATATGATTATCTCTGTGGAGATTATCTCTGGCAGGTTGTTTCTGTAGCAGGTTATCTTATGGTAGGTTGTCTTTGTAGGAGGTTATCTCTGTCGTATGTTATCTCTGTTTTAGGTAACCTCTGAGGAGAATGTCTCTGGAGTAAAACCCACAACCCGTCCATAGCCACATTGTAGTGTCGTACCCTAAGATCTACAACCTGGAGCCAGATGTCTCATTGTCATAACATAAGACCTACATCCTGTTGTCTCATGTCTCAGCAATGCCCTAGCGTAAGACCTACAACCCGTAGCCACATAACATGTTCCCCATTAGATATACTAGCCAGTGGTATGCTATTGTTCCTTGCAGTGTTCATTCGGGTTTAACTATATAAATTCATAACTACTGTATATAGACAAAAATGATAGGCGTCTAGAGTTGTAATGTTCTTCTCGATGTGTTGTTGTTTTTGATTCAGCTACTGGGAACAAAAGTTGCAAGTAGCACGGACTATGGTGAGCCCGTAGTGGACTTACCTGGCACAGGAGCGGGGCTGTAACTCGAGTGTCTTCGATGTGTGTCGAGTTGAAATGTTCTCCTGGTCGTGTAATAACATGTTAGTAGTTCAATACGAAGAGCCAACTACAGGTAGTTATGAGGTAGAGTTACTCTTTTAGGCGTCGTTTACAATGGGTTTGGCGTTAAGAGAAATGTTGACTTAGCCAGTAACCGTAAGATTAAGCAGAATACTGCTAGTAACGTGGATCATGTCTTGGACTAAGTAAAGCTTGGCTGCCGAGATCCGCCTTGAAGCCTGTGATATAGCAAGTGCAAATCACACGAAGTTCCACGACCGCCCGCATTGCTACACTAAGCCAGCGTAGCTACTGAGAGCACTTAACGCTATAATCTATCTCTATTTGTTGGAATGCAGGCGAGATATATCTTCATGTACCATGCCGTCCTCTCCAGTTGCCACATCACACAGAAAATGGTGTACTATAACGATCAATCCTAAGCTATAGACCCACGCTAAGAAAACGTGAATATCTGTGAGTCATTATGAAGAGCACATCGCATTTTGACCTATAAATCCTTCAAGGACAAAAACGTATTTACTAAAAATCATAACGGCTCGCAAAAGTGACGTGATGTCCCGTTTTCTATTACGGGGCCTCGGTTAGGTTAGGTTCGGGCAATTTAGAAAGTTAGCTTAGCGATTTTGTGAATGCTCGAGAGGACGGCTGTATAACACCCCTTTATTTGTCCGTTCGGGATTTTGACGTCAAAATGCAGCGTACTGTGTGAGAGGACGGGTTGCAGCGATGAACATACTTGAAGTCTCTCTAGGACTGGTGCATAAATGTACACGGAATTAATTTCATACCGAAGGTGGAGACGACCTAGTTGAAATAAAGAAGCACACAGCTGGTGCAGCGAGGATAGAGGTATGCTGTACACCCGTCAGTGTGTTGACAGTGTAAGCATAGAGGTGTGGCATGCTTCAAGCCCGTTGACAGTGTAAGCATAGAGGTGTGGCATGCTTCAAGCCCGTTGACAGTGTAAGCATAGAGGTGTGGCATGCTTCAAGCCCGTTGACAGTGTAAGCATAGAGGTGTGGCATGCTTCAAGCCCGTTGACAGTGTAAGCATAGAGGTGTGGCATGCTTCACCCCGTTGCCAGTGTAAGCATAGAGGCTTGAAATGAACGTCAGCCGGTGTAATTATATAAGCATAGCGACCTGTTACCATGGAAGACTAAGCATAGGGGCTTAAAACAGACTTCAGTGTGTTATCAGTATGAGTATACACGCATGATACAAACTCGAGCATACCCTGTTGCCAGGGTAAGCAGACTATGGCCTGTTGCCAGTATAATGATTGAAGACTGATATCAATTCCAACCTGTTGCCAGTATAACTATTGAAGACTCATATAAACTGTAGCCTCTTGCCAATATAAACATAGCGGCCTAATATAAACTCCAACCTGTTGCCAGTATAAACATAGAAGTCTGATACAAACTCCAGCCTGTTGTCAATACAGTATAGACAAACCGCAGAGTTTACTAGTGCACATTAACATATTGTGCAGATATACAGGCGATGAGTCACAATAACGTGGCTAAAGTATGTTGACCAGGCCACACACTAGAAGGTGAAGGGACGACGACGTTTCGGTCCGTCCTGGGCCATTCGTCGTCCCTTCACCTTCTAGTGTGTGGTCTGGTCAACTGCAGATACAAGAACAATTACACTACAGCGTGTACTATATCAAATTGGTTGTTTTAAATAAGCCGAGTCAAACGATGTGAAGTTAGTCATCATGTTGCTGAGACGAGAAAATTGAGAGTGGGGCTCTGGGCTTGAGGCCAGGGAGGAAGATATGCTACAATAAATAATATTGTTCTTTGTAAAGCGCGGGAACACGCACGCACACACACACTCACTGGTGGGGCGCTGGTGGCTGAGTGGACAGCACGCTGGATACGTAATGCTGTGGACCGGGGTTCGATTCTCGGCGCCGGAGAGAAACAAAATTTGGCTGAATTTTGTTTCACCCTGATGCCCCTGTTACCTAGCAGTAAATAGGTACCTGGAATATAGACAGTTGTTACGGGCTGCTTCCTGGATGTGTGTGTGTGTGTATGTGAAAAAATAGTAG